CTCTCTCTCTCTCTCTCTCTTTCTCTCGCTCTCGCTCTCTCTCTCGCTCTCTCTCACTCCCTCCCTCTATTTGTCTATCTGTCAGTCTCTCTCCTTCTCTTTCATACACACAAATGCACGCTCACAAGCACACACACACACACACGCACGCACACATACGCACACACACACACACACACACACATACACACATACTTACATTTAACCAATGACCAGCACATTAACTCAACTTCACTATCATTTACTAGAGAGGTTTCTCACCAGTGATGCACGCCTGAAAACTCCAATCTCTACAAACAGGCCCCTATATCCATCCGCCCCCAACACCCCTTTTCCTTAGGTAAAAAGACAAAAAAAAGGAAACACTCAAAGAGAACAGAACAAAAAGATTAATGTTAAGTAACACACACTACAAGATCTTGACCCCCCCCCCTTCCCCACCAAATTCGTGTGTGAGTGTGAATGTGTGTGTAGGGGGTGTTTGTGTGAGTATGTGTGTGTTTGTGTGTATGTGTGTGTGTGTGTGTGTTCGTTCTTAAACAGACAAAACAATAATAAAAACAAAGCAAAGACCACAATTTGACCTACCCATGGACCAAGGTTCCAGTTCGGCGCGGCCATATTTGATCATCTTAAAACCCTCAAAGCCGGCACAAACGTAGGTCTCTCCATCAGACAGATCTTCAATGTCAAATATTCTTCGGCCGCTGACCGGCGTGAAAATCTGGCGAACACCATAGGGCAGATTTAGGTTAGAAGGCAATTTGCCGGTTAGGTCGTTGAGCAGGTCGTTGAAGTTGTAGTAGCGGTTGGGCGTCACGTAGATTTTCTTGCCCCGGAAGTATCTGTCGCCGTTGACGAAGAACTTCAACTTCCGGGGTCGCCGAAGATCCCGGTATCTATCGTCTGCGAAGTCTCGCTGGACCTGTGATGTAATGTGAAAAAGAGATATAATTTTATAAACTGGGAAATAGTGGGCATACGTTTAAGGAGATTCACAGACACAAAATATTCAGTGAGAGTCTGAGAGTGAGTATATATGTAATAATAACTCGAAAAAATCGAAATTATTACGCCCATTGAGCAATTTTTATTAATTTTTCTCTCTTTTTTTGTACACATCAGTTATGTCCACCTAAAACACATTCCTGCATTAATTTTTTAAACTGAAAACGTTGATCAAAGGCATACAATATGTAAATTTGCAGTTTCCAAGGACATCCTAGCCAAACCTTGGCGGCCATTTTCTCGCTAATTTTACCTCAGACACCAGGTGACACCCCCCCCCCCTCCGAAAAAAAACAAAAAAAAACAACCCCCATCTTTAATCGCAAATACATTGACTTCTATATTTACGATATTTGGGTATTGACTTTTCCCCAAACAAAGCAAATGTGATAAGGCTTTAACATTATAATAACAACTCCATATACCCAGAAAACTGAGGAGCGCCTGATTCCACCGATTCGTGACACATTTATGAGTTTGTGAGAGAGATCGAGTGAGAGAGAAAGATAGATGGAGAGAGGGAGGCGGTATGCAGAATGACTGGAGGGGAGAGAGAGAGAGAGAGAGAGAGAGAGAGAGAGAGAGAGAGAGAGAGAGAGAGGGAGAGAGAGAGAGGGGGGGGGATATTATAAATATATGAGCTTTGTACGTAAATACTTTTAACAGTTACTGAAAAAATATTGCATCATTATATACAGCGAGAACGAGTGGTACAGTATGAAAGAGGAGCAGCAGCAACAGGACCTCAGATTGCAACTCATAATTTTCGAACATTGACCAAATTTCTAATCAACTTGGCCCCAAAACTGACGCTAAGCGGATACGTCTGCGTGAACCGGCCTTTACTCGCTCCTATATTTAGATGTGATAAGTCTATGCGCAAGAAACGAAACAGGAAACTAGTTTGGGACATTTTAATAGGGGGGCAGAAACGGACAAATCCTTGCTGATTTCCTTAATTTATTCCACAGTCCCTTTGTCTACATATGGGATAAGTCAGCTAATCCAGCAGTAAGCCCTGTCTTGATACTCGATACCAAGGAGAGCGCGTTCGCCAAATAGCTTACACAGGGATGAACACAGATAAATTTGAAAAATAGCAGTGGGTGGTTGATGGGTGCTCTGGTTTAGCTTGCTCCTTCTTTCTTATCAAACATCTATCGTTCTTATCTTTTCCTTCTTTTCTTGTGTATGTTACAGTACATCTGACGTTCTATTCTTGGGCACTTACATGACCTTATTGTGCTGCAAGTGCCGTAAAACTCGTACAAAAACAAATGAAAAATGGCAACAGCATTCTGGACTAATTGTGTTAGCTGTCTGAAAGACTGATTAAACCTGAGTTGAGTTTCCGCAAAACATGCGCGCCTGTTTTTCTCCAGGCCAAATACCGCATGATTACCCAGGAAACAGGATAATTTTTTTAGAGATCAAACTATTTGGACAACGTTCATATTGTCCACAAGTAAAACAGCTGTGGACACTTCACGTGCTTTAATCGTTACTTCTTTTTAGCAAGGTGGTGTTAAATAAATAATTTAGGGCTCTCGTGGTCTACATGTTAAGGTGAGGGCTCTCGTGGCCTAGAGGTTAAGGTGTTGGCCTCTCATTCAAAGGTCCCGGGTTCGAATCCGGGTATTGACCGAAAAATTTGCTTCTCTAAAATTATCTCCTTTCACCTTCTTTCCTGCTTTCTAGCAATGTTCTGTTGTCTGCTTTCATTTCCACTTTCTGCCCCCACCCCCTCCCCTCCTTTGCCCCTTCCTCTGGGCTCCTGACTCTTTCTGCAGCCTTTCTACTGCAACTCCTTGGCTCCTCCGTACTACTGTCTTTCTGCCACACCCCTGATCTTCTGGTAGGAAAGATCTACACCTAGCCTTCTCGGACAAGGGCGAAAAATCTCGGAGGGCCCGTGTGCAAGTTGCGCACTTTAAAGATCCCTTGATGGTCTAAAATCGATAAGAGTAGGCTTCGGCCGCCACACGGGCAAAATTAAAAATTTCCTACCTTCTGAAAATAGTAGGTGTGTCCCGCGCGCTCATATGACCTTATGCAGTTGCGAGCGCCGAAAAACACTTTACAAAAACAAACAAACAGGGTAAGGTGTTCGCCTCTCATCTAATAGGTCGTGGGTTCGAATCCGGAAAGGGACGGAACATTTTCGTCTCTAAAATGGTCTCCTTTCACATCCTTTCCTGCTTTCTAACAATGTTCTGTCGTCTGCTTTCGTCTCCACGTTCTGCCCCCATCCCCTCACCTTCTGCAGCCTTTCTACTGCTACTTCTTGGCTCCTTCTTACTGCTGTCTTTCAGCCATACCCCTGATCTTATAGTAGGAAAGATCTACACCTAGTCTTATCAGACAATGGAAAAAAATCTCGGAGGTCCTGAGTGCAAGTTGCGCATGTTAAAGAACTCTTAGTAGTCTAAAATCGATTTAAAAAAGGAGGCTTCGGCTGCCACCATGGCAGAATTTAAAATTACCTACCAACTGAAAATATTTAATGTGTCCAGCGCACTCATATGACCTTATGCAGTTGCGAGCACCGTAAAACACTTACCAAAAAAATAAATAAAATGAAATAAAATAAATCATCAATGCTTTATCTCTCCTATTTGATATCATGAGATAGTGGTTATAAAACCGTTAGAGAGAAAGTTATGGGAAGGGCGGAGAAAGAGAAGAGAGAGAGAGAGAGAGAGGAGGGGTGACAGAGAGAGAGAGGGGGGGGAAGAGAGAGAGAGACAGAGAGAGAGACAGAGAGAGATGGGGGGAGAAAGATTTTTTTTTAAAGAGAGAGAGAGAGAGAGAGAGAGAGAGAGAGAGAGAGAGAGGCGGGGGCCGGGGACGCGGCACATAATCCGAGGTATGTTTTTGAACATCAAACCATATTTCTGTGAAGTGTAAGTACTAAGATTTTGTTTTTGTTGG